AAGAATGGAGAAATGTGGTATATGTTTCAGACCAGATAGATTTCTATAAGAAGTATTTTTAAAATATTTATGTTAGGGTGCTTAAATATATAAACTTCTATCACTAGAACACTGACAAATGTGTACAAACCCTCTCCAGCAATCCTGAATAGCGTATATAGTACTCCACTGCCCATTTTAGTATCGCATCGCAAAAGCACAACACAAAATTTGTAAATACTTTTAGTTCACATTTTTTAATGTTTAAAAACTATGTTAACAGAGCAGTTATAGAACAGAACTTCTTACATTTCTTTATTTACACCACACCCTGAAAAAAAAAAAAACCCAGTTCTATTTGATTAACTATGAATAGCAAACTTTTGTGACTTGTGACTCACTTAAATCACCTATCTGAAATTCATTTACAAGGTTTTTACATTAATAAAACAGTGGTGTGCTACATATACTGGACTCAGATGAAGTCTAAAGTACACTGGACTCTAGAGAGTGGATTACATATCAATGATCAAGATTCAAGTGTTTGGGGAAAAAATTACCTAAGACAGTCTATGTTGGCGTCAACACTAAAATAAAAGGCAAACATGCAAGACTTTCAAAGTGTGATAAAATAATGGTTCTTTGTTTCCTTTCCTTCAAATTAGTGCTCATAATTAATATTCAGGTTCTCCCTCCCCCCTTTCATAGAATCTCAAAGTTTGAAAAATACAGCAATTCAATTGTGAAAAAAAACATTCTTCTCCCCAACTTGTTTTCATAAATACTATATAGTGGTACCAATGTCAACAATGGAAGATCATTATGAAGAAACAATTTATCATTTTGGATATATCTGTTTCAATATGACAAGGATTTGTGTCTAAATATTCCTTATTTGATTTTAATGCCAGCATAAGAAATCAATGGAACTATTTCTCAGACATTCCTTTTTCTAAATAGTTAAGCAGGGTTTTAGGTTCCAACTTTACATTGAGAGAACTATGTTACCTGGGAGGGAATGTAAATTTTTCTAATTCCCAAACAAAACCACTAATATCTAGGAAACATTTATTGTTTATATGCAGATCCTAGAGACTTCTATTTCAGTATGGATCAACAACTGCAAAAATATACAGCCTCCTATTTATTTACAATATATTTACATACAAATGAAGTATTTTCCTGCAGTAAGCCTCAGCTGCATAGATTCTTCCTTTAAAACGTAAATTCGAGCCTGTATACAGATGGGCCGAATTTCATAGCCCTTCCTTAGAGAAAAGCCTAAAGAAGGAGATGTCTGCACCTTGTGAACCTTACGTATTTTGCAAGAACTTTCTCTTTTAGATTTAGTGATAGTTTTTAGTTGTTAGCCACCCCATCTTCAGTTTGTATCTGAAAGCCTTGTATCATTATAAATAATTCACTGTAATTTAGGGGAAGTATGTCCTGTTGCTAAAGGATTCTCAGACCTGCCATCCCGAAGGAAAATCATGTATTAGTATTGCTTAATGATGGCCTGTGTCTTCTTTGTTTTGAAAGTGGTTAGGTGTTTGCTGTGAACTTGAATGGGAGAATTATAATCTCAAAGTTTACATCCCCTCTAAGCCTAAAGCCATTTAAATTGATAAACTGTGAGATACTAATAGGTTTTGCTCTAAGGCATAAAATCCAATATTTCTGACCTCCTCCCTACTCCAACTAAATGTGCCATAGTCCAACACTGTGCCCCACTGAATTGGAACTCAGCATTTCGTTCTTTTGAGAGTAGTTTGTAGATCCTTAAACAGAGCAGACCTTTCAGTAGAGAATTTGCTTTAAAAGGAGGACAGGAGTATCATCACACAATCAACACAAACACTGGAGAACTTACTTAGACAAATTCAGTATTTCTTCTAAGTCTGCATTTACAAAGGGTCTTTTCTTTTAATTTCTCTCACCACCACCCCGCCCCCCACCAAAGCCTCACTTTCATTTCCTCACAGCTTTAAAAAAATAAAATATTATCATGCCTCAGCCCGAGGTAATAGTGAGTGCAGGCAGCCTGTGTTTAGGAATGTGCACCTGCACTGGTATTTTCAACCAGAGGGGGATGACCAGGTGGCAGCGCTGGATTCACTTGCTTTCTTGCCATTGCAGAGATCCCTGCAACCAGGGTCCTTTCCTCCCCTCCCTATAATCCTGGCTCCTGTGTCTTGCCCCATGAGTCCTAGGAATCATCTTGTGAGGTAAGACTAATGGGAAGAACAAGGGAGACTCATTGGCTTAGTGTGGTTCTCAAACTTGAGGCACTACAGAATCACCTGCTGAGCCCCACCCTGAGAGCTTCTGACTTGACCGTGTCTGGATTGGGGGTGCGGGGCTGAGAATCTGCATTCTAACAAGGTCCCCAATGATGCTGATGCTATTGGTCTGGGATCCACATTTTGAGAACCACTGGCTTAGAGGCATGAATCAATCTCCAGAAAGCAGTCAGTTCCAGGATGACAGTCTTAGGTGCTCTCCGAAACACTGAGGAAACTTACCACAACACTGTGTCTGCCACAAGCCCTATTCCCATCACCCTTCTGGACCTTTTTCTCAACAGGGTCTGTAAATGTAGAAAAGGAAATGGTGGAGAGCTTTTGTTTCTCTTTTTTCTTTTTTCCTAACCTCCCAGCTTACTCCTCGAAAGTTAAAACATAGTTACTAGCACTAAAAACATTTAAAGTGCTGTGCACTGACCTCAACGACTAGTACATGAGAGAAGCTGTGCACCATCCTTTTCTCTGGTAGGCAGGGCAGGATATGAATCATAGGAGCCAGAAGTCAGACAAACAGAAACAGGCAGAACAAACCTGAACCCTCTGGACAACAGCAGAAGTACCAAGTGAGCGATGTCCTTGGAGGTTTCTGACCCACAAGAGGGCCCATCACCCTCCTTCACCCTCCTCTTATCACCAGGCTCTCTGGCAGTCATGGAATCATTCCTCCTAATTTTTGCTGGACACCCTGTTTCAGGCCACTGTAGTCACCTGTAGTCCAGTGGCATCTCTACCCCCACTGTCCGGTAGGTGGTATGTGGCTGGGATGGACAGTCCAGATTCTACTAACAGACAACTCTGAACAAAAACCCTCCTGGAAACAATGTTATATTTGATGGTTAGATTCTTTGGCAAACCTATTACATTATTCACTTTCAGCTAAACTATGGGTTTGATCATCTTTTTCAGCTGGTCTAGGGGATTAACCACCATAGATAACCTGATCTTGTAAAGGAAAATACATTCCAGGTTGCAAACAACCAACTGACAACTTTTTGGAATATGATCTCTTTATACACTGGGACTGCCTGTGCCTAAACAGAGTAGATTTCCATCCTGTGTGTGTTTCACCAGTCCCACTTCCAATAAGTAACAATAAGTAAATTAGGGATTGACAGTATTCTGTGTTAAAATAACTAGAGAACAGTTCTAAATCCAAAGTGTGAAACTGGCACTGTTCACTAGTATAGAGATCCTACCTACCAGGGGAAAACGTGCTGCTCCCCATGGCTAAGGTATAGTATTCTTTAATCTACTAATTTAGCAGAAAATCTTCCATAGCACTTTACTGTGCTCTTTAAATTCAACCTAACATCTGTGATACATGTATTTTTGGCTACCAGTTCACTATTCTGAACAAGAATAAGAGCAGTACACTTTATAGCTAATCCCACACAAAGGACGTAACTAATCATTGATATTTGACAAATTACGGTAGAGTCTATTATATTCAGTCAACAACAAATTTAGATAAACATACAAAGGTTTTTAAAAATATGTGTGTTTATCACACACATCAACAACAGTGTGCCTCTAAATAAATGTATTTTAAGTAAATATTCCTTATACTGACACATGAAGTCCAGAAGCCCAAAAATATGACTGCACATCCCAGTTAATAATGTTCTAAATTGACTTTGTGAGTGTAAAATGAATTGCTATAAAGTAATGAGGAAAATAGAAAGTAGCATAATATAGCTTGCAAACTAAATTAACGTACTTTCAAAGGTAAGGTCATCCCACTACCTGGCTATTTCATTACTTGGTGCTCTAGACAAGCTCCTAAGAACCAACTGAATCTTGGTTTGTTCTGTTTCTGTCATTGCTAATATGATATGGAAAACATTGCTGAAAAGGACAGAGATGGCTGTGGATATGGCTAGGTTAGTTATTCATATCTAAATATCTGAACTCTGACCTAATGTGGATATAATTCTGTAGCATTATATTAAAAGCTATGATGATGCAATGCACGAAATAACCTTTCATTTTCCCTGCAAGAGGATCATGACACGTGCTTCAATGCCTGCCTTATCTATGGGACATTAGTCTGTAAAGGGCAGAGACAGTTCCATGTGATTCTCAGTGAGAGTGAAGGCCTTTGGGGATTTGAGTCAGGAAGGGAACACGGCTAAGTGCCTGGAAACTCTGCCAACAGTCTGCAGTTAGATTCTACTTATCTCTGGATAAGAAATCTGTGCTCAGTGAACTTACGTGTTTGGAAAATTCAACCAGAATATAGAGGAAATATAAGTCCTGTTTCAAGAGACCAGATCACAGGGCATGCATATTTCTCACCATATGTTAACTATGAACAATCCAATCACAGGGGATGCTCCCACTTAGGGGAATGCAGTTCTGGGTTTCCTTGCTGTCTCCTTTCCTTTTTCAGCTACAAACTCTCTTCTTTTTCAGTCTCTTCACAGTTTCATTGTGCTCCCTTTAGGAGAAGGACTAGGGTAAGAGTACTAGGCACCTCTGTCCTGCATCGATCAGTTGGGATGGGCAGTAATGGCACACTCCTTGGTTGGGGAAGAGAAGAGGAAACAGCACAGACACTGAGACCCCCTTGTCTTCCTCATCTGGGGGAAGGAAAATTATTTCGGAATCTGAATGTTTAATAAATAAACAAACATGATTGCTTATCATGTTTTCAAGTACCCAGTGATTCTGTCAGAAACTCTTCTCAAAGACTATCTCTGAGGATTTTTTTTTTCCCCGCAAGACTCTAGATGGAGAATTAACAAAGAAGAAATAGAAATGAGGCTTATTTAAGGTACAAAAATTTTGTATTTGTAATAACCTAGATTTATATAGATATAAAACAAGTCTTTTAAAGACTTCCCTAAAGTACTCAATATAAAACAGGAGTTACTTATCCTAGATCATCCTTAGTTAGGTACACATGATTCTCTGTGCAACTAGCTGGTGGACATGAATAAAAGCTGACTGGCCTACAATGTACTAAAACATTTTTTTCCCTTCAACAAGACAGGTATAGGAATGAAGGCTAAATGCATCAGAGCAGTATTTTCTTAGGCATTTTGGACAATCTTTTTGCAGTAGGTTCCATTGGTCTTCCCCATCGAAAGTTGACTCAGACCGGAGTAACTCTGACACAAGTTGCCAAGAGGGAAACAATACTTCATTTGCTAGATTACCGAGATGTGTAGCTTCATTTAATTACCAAGCTAAGAATCATCCCCAACCACTTTTCAGCTGAGAACACTTGCCAGAGAATGTCTCTGGATGTGAATGGGATGTGGTACCAGCTAGGCCACTGGACTGCCTGAGCTCAGCTGCCAGGCAATCAGAGCCACCTCAAATATTGGGCATGCTCTGATTCAGCAGTGGCAGTGCCCTATAACTTTCAGATGATTATCTCTGTGTGCTATGTTAACCAAAATAGGCAAATTATTTACGAAACCATTTTTTTCTGTAAAGCAAAATAAATATATACAATTCAAGATTCTTTTCTCTTCTAAAAAGGTACAGATAGTTTGAGCTGAACATCAGTAGGAAAATTATTTCAGAATCTGGATGTATAATAAATAAACCTGATTGCTTATCATGTTTTCAAAGTTCTAAGAGACCACGAAGCCACAAAACATAGAATTAGATGGGTAAAAACTGATTGTGAAAAGTACTGGGAAATATGATTGTATGAAATTTGAAAAAAAAAATTCACAATCCCTAAATTGATCCCAGATCTTGGAGGGACATGAAGCATTATAGAAACATGTCTCTGTTTTGGAACCAAAGTGTTATTCCATTTTAGGTATCCTGTACATTTCTGTTTGCTTCTGTAAACTTGCAAAAGAAGTGATGAGTGATTGCTGATGTGTGGGGACTTGACTGAGCAGACAACAGGAATATTTCTTTTTCTCGGCTGGTCTCAGTGGCCTTCATCACTACTCGATGAGCAGGCCCAGTCATAGATGACCAAAGGAATGCTGACCAAGGAGAACAACACCCCCAGGCCCAAGAAAAGAGCAGCCTGTAGCAACAGAAAGGCAAGGGTTATTTTCAGTACAGCAAAAATTTTCCACATGTACCTGGGGGATAAAAATAGAACTGTTTCCCTCTCCCTTTGGGTCCTCTGGTATTTGGAGTTTGTTACAACCATGGCTGTAACTGTGAGACTCTTTCTAAAAATTGTATCAATCTGATTCTACAAGGATGGGAACATAGAAAAACAAGCTAAGCAGAGTAGTCTTCTATGCCCTGTTCTTTGACTCCATATTCACCTCAATTGTATGTATCCATTCTACAAATGACTGGGTATCCTTATGGCTTCTCTCAAATTAAGATTACAACCAAAGGCAGGAAAAGGCTTTAGAAAATATCCAGGTCATTTTGTTATTCATTATCTACCAACCTAGCTTATCACTGGCAAGCAAACATTTCTGTTTGAAAAAGTGGGAAAAAACATACAAAAATAAAATAGATTTGATCAAGTGAAATAGGAAACAGGTATCAAAAACTAAGTTACCTGAAAGGCTGATGAAGGCCATAGGTAAACAGATGATTATATGGTTTGGCTGTGTCCCTAACCAAATCCATCTTGAATTATAGCTCCTATAATTCCCATGTGTCATGGGAGGGACCTGGTGGGAGGTAATTGAACCCTGGGGGTGCGTCTTTCCCATGCTGTGCTAGTGATAGTGAATAAATCTCATGAGATTTGATGGTTTGATAAAGGGGAATTCCCCTGTACAGGCTCTCTGCCTGCTGCCATGTAAGATGTGACTTTGTTCCTCCTTCACCCTCTGCTATGATTGTGAGGCCTCCTCAGCCATGTGGAACTGTGAGTCAATTAAACCTCCTTCCTTTATAAATTACCCAGTCTGGGGTATTTCCTTATTAGCAGTGTGAGAACAGACTAATACAGATTATTAAATTCAAAATCCAAAGAACACAAGATTCCTTGGGCTGGAACATGTTCCTTGGGCTGGAGCATGTTCAGTGAGAGCTCTGCAGGGAGAAGGATGATGCATTCTGAGAGCCAATGGGCCTAGACTGAAAGCTGGAGGAGGAGAAAGAGCTAGAGAAGGAGAGGAGCGAATTGGGGATTAAGATGGCTGCATGTTCGAATTGACCAAGCAGAAGAAAGGATATCAGAGGTCGAAGATCAACTCAATGAAGTAAAAAGAGAAGGCAAGAACAGAGAAAAAAGTGCAAAAAGGAATGAACAAAATCTCCAAGAAATGTGGGACTATGTGAAAAGACCTAATCTACGTCTGATAGGTGTACCTGAATGTGATGAAGAGAATGAATCCAAGCTGGAAAATACTCTTCAGGATATTATCCAGGAAAACTTCCCTAACCTAGCAAGGCAGACCAATATTCAAATCCAGGAAATACAGAGAACACCACAAAGATATTCCTCAAGAAGAGCAACCCCAAGGCACATAATCGTCAGATTCACCAGGGTTGAAATGAAAGAGAAAATGCTAAGGGCAGCCAGAGAGAAAGGTCGGGTTACCCACAAAGGGAAGCCCATTAGACTCGCAGCAGATCTCTCAGCAGAAACCCTACAAGCCAGAAGAGATTGGGGGCCAATATTCAACATCCTTAAAGAAAAGAACTTTCAACCCAGAATCTCCTATCCAGCCAAACTAAGCTTCATAAGTGAAGGAAAAATAAAATCCTTGGTGAACAAGCAAGCACTCAGAGATTTCATCACCACCAAACCTGCTCTACAAGAACTCCTGAAAGAGGCTCTACACATGTAAAGGAACAACCAGTACCAGCCACTCCAAAAACACACCAAATGGTAAAAAAGCATCAACACAATCAAGGATCTGCATCAACTAACCAACAAAACAGCCAGGTAGCATCAAAATGACAGCATCAAATTCACACATAACAATACTATCCCTAAATGTCAATGGACTAAATGCCCCAATCAAAAGACACAGACTGGCAAATTGGATAAAAAGCCAAAACCCATCAGTGTGCTGTATCCAGGAAACCCATCTTACATGCAAGGATACACAAAGGCTCAAAATAAAGGGATGGAGGAAGATCTACCAAGCAAATGGAGAGCAAAAAAAGGCAGGAGTAGCAATTCTCATCTCTGATAAAATAGACTTTAAAGCAACAAAGATCAAAAGAGACAAAGAAGGACATTACATAATGGTAAAAGGATCACTGCAACAAGAAGAGCTAACGATCCTAAATATATACGCACCCAATACAGGAGCACCCAGATACATAAGGCAAGTTCTTAATGACTTACAAAGAGACTTAGACTCCCACACAATAATAGTGGGAGACTTTAACACCCCATTGTCAATATTAGACAGATCAACCAGACAGAAAATCAGCAAGGATATCCAGGACCTGAATACAGACCTGGAACAAGCAAACCTAATAGACATTTACAGAACTCTCCACCCCAAATCCACGAATATACATTCTTCTCAGCACCACATCACACCTACTCTAAAATTGACCACATAATTGGCAATAAATCACTCCTCAGCAAATGCAAAAGAACAGAAATCATAACAAACAGTCTCTCAGACCACAGTGCAATCGAGTTAGAACTCAGAATGCAGAAACTAACTCAGAACCGCACAGCTTCATGGAAACTGAACAACTTGCTCTTGAATGTTGACTGGATAAACAATGAAATGAAGGCAGAAATAAAGATGTTCTTCGAAACCAATGAGAACGAAGACACAACATACCAGAATCTCTGGGACACATTTAAAGCAGTCTCCAGAGGAAAATATATAGCAATGAGTGCCCACATGAGAAGAAAGGAGAGATCTAAAATTGACACCCTATCATCAAAATTGAAAGAGCTAGAGGAGCAAGATCAAAAAAACTCAAAACCTAGCAGAAGACAGGAAATAACTAAGATCAGAGCAGAACTGAAGGAAATAGAGACACAAAAAACTCTTCAAAAAAATCAATAAATCCAGGAGCTGGTTTTTTGAAAAGATCAACAAAATAGACAGACCACTAGCCAGATTAATAAAAAAGAAAAGAGAGAATAACCAAATTGATGCAATAAAAAACGATAAAGGGGATATCACCACAGATTCCACAGAAATCCAAACATCATCAGAGATTATTACAAACAACTCTATGCACATAAACTAGTAAACCTGGAAGAAATGGATAAATTCCTGGACACCTGCAACCTCCCAAGCCTAAACCTGGAAGAAGCCGAAACCCTGAATAGACCAATAACATGGTCTGCAGTCGAGGCAGCAATAAAGAGCCTACCACCCAAAAAAAGCCCAGGTCCAGATGGGTTCACAGCTGAATTCTACCAGACATACAAGGAGGAGCTGATACCATTCCTTCTGAAACTATTCCAGACAATCCAAAAAGAGGGAATCCTTCCCAAATCATTTTACGAGACAAACATCATCCTGATACCAAAACCCGGCAGAGACTCAACAAGAAAAGAAAATTTCAGGCCAATATCCATGATGAACATAGATGCAAAAATCTTCAATAAAATACTGGCAAACCAGCCAGGCGAGGTGGCTCAAGCCTGTAATCCCAGCACTTTGGGAGGCCGAGGCGGGTGGATCACGAGGTCAAGAGATCGAGACCATCCTGGTCAACATGGTGAAACCCCGTCTCTACTAAAAATACTAAAAAAAAATTAGCTGGGCATGGTGGCGTGTGCCTGTAATCCCAGCTACTCAGGAGGCTGAGGCAGGAGAATTGCCTGAACCCAGGAGGCGGAGGTTGCGGTGAGCCGAGATCGCGCCATTGCACTCCAGCCTGGGCAACAAGAGCGAAACTCCGTCTCAAAAAAAAAAAATAAATAAAAAATAAAATAAAATAAAATACTGGCAAACCGATTGCAACAGCATATCAAAAAGCTCATCCACCATGATCAAGTAGGATTCATCCCGGGGATGCAAGGCTGGTTCAACATACGCAAGTCCATAAACGTAATCCACCACATAAACAGAACCAAAGACAAAAACCACATGATTATCTCGATTGATGCAGAGAAGGCTTTTGACAAAATTCAACAACCCTTTATGCTAAAAACCCTCAATAAACTAGGTATTGACGGAACGTATCTCAAAACAATAAAAGCTATTTATGACAAACCAACAGCCAATATCATACTGAATGGGCAAAAACTGGAAGCATTCCCTTTGAAATCTGGCACTAGACAAGGATGCCCTCTCTCACCACTCCTATTCAATATAGTACTGGAAGTTCTAGCCAGAGCAATCAGGCAAGAAAAAGAAATAAAGGGTATCCAAATTGGAAAGGAGGAAATCAAATTGTCTCTATTTGCAGATGACATGATTGTATATCTGGAAGACCCCATCATCTCAGCCCAAAATCTCCTGAAACTGATAAACAACTTCAGCAAAGTCTCAGGATACAAAATCAACGTGCAAAAATCACAAGCATTCCTATACACCAGTAATAGACTTCAAGAGAGCCAAATCAAGAACGAACTGCCATTCACAATTGCTACAAAGAGAATAAAGTACCTAGGAATACAATTAACAAGGAACGTAAAGGACCTCTTCAAGGAGAACTACAAGCCATTGCTCAACGAAATAAGAGAGGATACAAACAGATGGGGAAACATTCCATGTTCATGGTTAGGAAGAATCAACATCGTGAAAATGGCCATACTGCCCAAAGTAATTTACAGATTCAACGCTATTCCCATCAAGCTACCAATGACCTTCTTCACAGAACTGGAAAAAAACACCTTAAACTTCATATGGAACCAAAAGAGAGCCCGCATAGCCAAGTCAATTCTAAGCAAAAAGAACAAAGCAGGAGGCATCACACTACCGGACTTCAAACTATACTACAAGGCTACAGTAATCAAAACAGCATGGTACTGGTACCAAAACAGAGATATAGACCAATGGAACAGAACAGAGGCCTCAGAGGAAATACAACATACCCACAACCATCTGATCTTCGACAAACCTGACAAAAACAAGCAATGGGGAAAGGATTCCCTGTTTAATAAATGGTGTTGGGAAAACTGGCTAGCCATGTGCAGAAAGCAGAAACAGGACCCCTTCCTGACACCTTACACCAAAATTAACTCCAGATGGATTAAAGACTTAAACATCAGACCTAATACCATAAAAACCTTAGAAGAAAATCTAGGCAAAACCATTCAGGACATAGGTGTAGGCAAGGACTTCATGACCAAAACGCCAAAAGCAATGGCAACAAAAGCCAAAATAGACAAATGAGACCTAATCAAACTCCACAGCTTCTGCACGGCAAAAGAAACAGTCAGTAGAGTGAATCGGCAACCAACAGAATGGGAAAAAATTTTTGCAGCCTACCCATCTGACAAGGGGCTGATATCCAGAATTTACAAAGAACTAAAGCAGATCTACAAGAAAAAAACAAACAAGCCCATTCAAAAATGGGCAAAGGATATGAACAGATACTTTACAAAAGAAGACATACGGGAGGCCAACAAACATATGAAAAAATGCTCATCATCACTGGTCATCAGAGAAATGCAAATCAAAACCACATTGAGATACCATCTCACACCAGTTAGAATGGCGATCATTAAAAAATCGGGAAACAACAGATGCTGGAGAGGATGTGGAGAAATAGGAACACTTTTACACTGTTGGTGGGAATGTAAATTAATTCAACCATTGTGGAAGACAGTGTGGCGATTCCTCAAGGACCTAAAAATAGAAATCCCATTTGACCCAGCAATCCCATTACTGGGTATATATCCAAAGGATTATAAATCATTCTACTACAAGGACACATGCACACGAATGTTCATTGCAGCACTGTTTACAAAAGCAAAGACCTGGAACCAACCCAAATGCCCAACGATGATAGACTGGATAGGGAAAATGTGGTACATATACACCATGGAATATTATGCAGCCATCAAAAACGAGGAGTTCACGTCCTTTGTAGGGACATGGATGAACCTGGAAACCATTATTCTCAGCAAACTGACACAAGAGCAGAAAATCAAACACCGTATATTCTCGCTCATAGGCGGGTGTTGAACAATGAGAACACATGGACACAGGGAGGGGAGCACTACACACTGCGGTCCGTTGGGGGGAAATGGGGGAGGGGCGGGGGTGGGGAGGTGGGAAGAGATAGCATGGGGAGAAATGACAGATACAGGTGAGGGGACGGAAGGAAGCAAAGCACACTGCCATGTGTGTACCTATGCAACAATCTTGCATGTTCATCACATGTACCCCCAAACCTAAAATGCAATAAAAAAAAAAAAGAAAAAGAAAAAAGAAAAAGATGGCTTCATGTGGCATGCCATCCTGGGTCCAGTCTAACTCCCAGTGGTTCCTACACAGATGGAGCCCTTGTCTAATTCCATTTGGCAGACTCTGCTACTAGTTTCATTATGGGACCAGGTTTAGAGAGGCTCAGAATTCACATGCAGCAGGACTCCACCATTTTCAGATTTAAACTGAATATATTGTCCTGTTGTGCCAGAGTGACTGCTCCTTTCTCTCTGTCCTCATGAAGCCCCTACAGGCAAGGATGGAAGGATTTGGGAATTAAGGTTACAGAGGTGATCATGTTGGGGAACTGGATGCTCTGTGAATATCAGTGCTGCTTCTCCTAAATGCACAGGGATGACCCTCATGCCTACACCTCTCATCTGGATCTTTTGACTCAGGAGGTAATAGGTGCAATTTCAGTGCTTACACTACCTGAGGGGGCAGCTGAGAAGCTTTCTAAGAGGCCAAGCAAAATGGAACTCCAAAAGGGACTCAGATAGCAGCCACTTCACCCCTGCTTCCCTCACTGTTTCCAAGTACACCACCTTCAAGATGCCCTTGAATTTCACCAGACCTGGAAACAAGAATCCTAATATAGAAAGGCAGGTTTTGAATCCAGGTCTGTTGTTCCAAAGCATATCTGTCAAATAATAAAAAGACTCTTTAACTCAGACATTTTAATTAAGGCATTGCATGTTCCTTGGGCTGTAGGGAGGGGTTACTTGACTAGAAATCACATGGAAACAGTATACTGCATAATATCTGCAAGTCCTTTGTAAATTCCACCCTTGCTAAAGACTAGACGCTATCCTATAGAGACACAGGAGGATGAATGTCCATTCTTCTGACTGGCCACGTGCTAGATCAGAACAAAAGCTGAGGCACAATGAGAGTAAAACCAGAAAAGATATTTGCATGGACAGGAGAAGATTCTGATATATTTTAAATCTCTCCTAAGTAGGAAAGCTACAGGGCTTCTGCCTCCCTTCAGGGCAACTGAAAGTAGTCTTGATAGAGAGGTGAACTATTTATTTGGTAAATTAAATGGAAAACTAATCAGAAAAGTTAGAGTGGCCAGCAAGAGACATACCCAAATTCTTTGAGTTCCTTTATCTCCATCCTGGTCTGTGATTTTTAAATAAAGAGATGAAGGAAGAATAAAAATAAGCATATTAGCAGATGTAACTCCTGTAAAACAAGAAAAAAAGAGAAAGTTTAGCATTGCTCTTGTGAAATTTTCCCTCCAAACAGCTATTGTAGAATGATAAGCACAAAGTCATGAAGCCATACCTACGACTCCAAAAATATCTTTCATGGAGGGTATGAAGATCACCAACAAGTTGATAATAACCAAGAGTATGCAGGTAACCACGATATGACGACATAAATTAAACTTTGTTTTCTTAGCCAGTTCAAATAAAGATGAACGAACCTGCCAGAAAAGAAAACAAAGATTCTGTAAGTGCCTACAGCATGCAACACTGACATTTCTCAGTAAAGTAACTGATTTATTGGTGTACACAAATTTGTGAAATGTTTTGTGATGCCTAGTGAATTTATAGATAGCTTAACAGTTTTGGAATTACAAGGTCTTAACTGAAAAGGGAAAATATTTTTATTTTAGAATAGTAGAGTTTTCTTGTGGGAGGTAGAATTTCTGTCTTTGGTTTATCTAAGACTTGAGTGTTCATTTCCCTTCTTTTTATATTCTCTCGTCATGTCTGACTGAGATTTAAACATTCTATTGTCATTTCTTTGTAAAGAACAGGGACAGATTAATTAGAATGAAGATTCATTGCATCAGAGGCTCCCTGATGCACTGAATGCCACCTGCTTTTCAAAGAGCCTGAACAGAGTCTTGGGATCATTTCCAGATGCAGTTTCAATAACCCAGGAAAGTTACCTGGGGCAGGCTTTCTCTGGAACAGGCTCCTGGAAAGCTGAGACCTCAGCTTTTCTCATATTGCACCAAGGCCCTTACTCACTGTGAAAAATAACACCGGCACTGTGAGGATCACAGCGACAATGACAGCCAGCCGCACTGTCAGGATGAGAATGTCATCTTTACTCTGGTACTTGTGAAGGAGGTCTGACTGAACATTGTCTGAAATGATGGAAAAGTAAGAGGGTTTTAAAAGGATACAGAATACATAGCTAAATGACAGTTTTTCTGAACAACAAAGAATTTATAAACTACAGGGAAAGAAAAGCAATGCTTTGAAATGTCTATTAAAACAATTAAGTTGGAAAGAAAAATCTGTACGTGAGACATGCTCTACTGTGCATATGCGGCTTAGCAAAGGAATTTAAAGTAATCTCTAGAAGAAGCTATATGGAGTGGGAATGCTTAATTTAGACTAAATTAAACCTAGGGGCACATTGGCCTTGAAAATGAAACATACAGTTGAAGTGCAAAGCTGCTCTTAATCTAGACTTTCCCTCTGTTCTTCAAACCACACCAAACTGCCACAGACTTGCTGGGGGACAGGGGGTGGGAGGAGCCTGCAAGCCACATTGGAGCTTGTTTTAAACTCTCCTCTTGTTAAGTCAACTTCAAGTGGCCAAGCAGCAGAGGTACTAGCTGAAATTTCACCACCAGGAGATAATTCCTCTTTTCCATGCATGTTGTTCTTGTAAAAAAAAGAAAAAAAAAAGTGTTTACATACTACTGTGTGTGTGTGTCTGTGTGTGTGTGTGTGTGTGTGTGTGTGTGTGTGTGTTTGAGACAGGGTCTTGCTCTATCACCCAGGCTGGAGTGTGATTTCAGTAGTACCATCTTGGCTCATTGCAACCTCTGCTTCACGGAGTGTTCAAGTGTTCCTCCTGCCTCAGCCCCGCAAATAGGTAGGACTATAGGTGTGTGTCACTGTGCCCAGCTAATTTTTGTATTTTGTTTTTGTAGAGACAGGGGTTTCATTATGTTGCCCAAGCTAGTCTCGAACTTCTGGGCTCAAGCTATCCAACTACCTTAGCCTCCCAAAGTGTTGGGATTATAGGTGCAAGCCACCACACCTGGCCTTATGTACTGCTTTGAACTTTTTCTCAACTCAGAACTTCAGAAAGTGTTATTTCAAAGACTAACAAAGCTAGAATGGCAGTCACATAGAGTATGAAACTGCTCACTCTTTCGACAAGAGATAATTTCCCCTCCTGTCTCCTGCAAGGGCTTCTCACTGCACCAATCTCAAGGTTCTTGGCATGGAATTCAAGTGCTAATCTGTACCGTAGAACTTGGTCTCAGTTTCCAAAAAAGAATCATAAGTTATAATACAAATCTCACTAGTTCTAATTTCCTTAATCAAACTAACCAACCACTTAAAAATAGCTGAGCCTTTTTCTTTAACTCAAGAGTAACAAAAGTGTTTGGTATTCTATTCTATGTGAAAAATAATTCATTTACAAAGAAAAATCATAGCTTGAACAAGAAAACAGTGAGACTTTAACTAACATGAAGCTCTCCCCCTCTCTCTCCCTGTATCCACCCCAGCCCTGCAACTCTGCATCCACCTTAGCAACACCAATTTTATGCAAAACTTAAATAAGGTATTTATGAATTCATTAGACAATGGTATTCTCTATTGCTTGTGAAAACAATAATAACATCTGTATAATCAGAGTAGCCTTTTTCTCCAGGCTGAAGTAATAAATTTTAAATGTGTTTAATTTTGAGACATTTGTGTTTATGGAAAAAAGTCCCAAAGAATTATTATTTAGTAGAAAAGATGGTGAAATACATGCATATATATTTAAATAAGGTACACAATTATAAAGATAATGAAAGATATTAAATAAAGCTTCAGGATAATTTGAAGAGGAGAGGATGAAGAAGCAGTAAAAGCCAGTGAAGTGTTCATTCAGGGTCAGTAAAATTTACATATGAAATCTTGATCGCTTTTTCAGATTTCATTTTTAAAAATTTCTATGTCATTCCTTTGGATCTTTGCAAGTCTCAGCTCCGACTTCCAGTGAACAATTAGGAGTTTCATTTTTAATTAACTCAGAGTGTCATGAGTGTAGCACTCTGCTCTTTCTCACTTTTAGCATCTGTCTCTGTCTCTCTATTCTATTAATGGAATCTGACCTAATTTGCAGTGTCAATTAGGAAAGCCTTCTCTGATGTAGTTTTAAACTTTCCTCAGTAAAGGTAGCATGCTTCTAAAATGCAATTTCCTTTAAGGACACTGTTAGGATAAAAAAATTATATCGTTTTAGTAATTATTTTATTCTGCAGTCTGCATGAATAATAAAGGAAAGATCATAATTGCTTTAAGCAGAAGAAAAACCTAGAGAAACCAATGAGTAGCTTTGTTGCTTTCTTTACCTTTCATGTTAAAAGTTATTTCAATACTTATTTTTACTAATTTGTTTACAAATATTTATATTTATGTACCAGCAGAAATTACTTACCATAGAATGTCAAGTAGCCAAAAATGGCAGTCAAGAAGTACATAACAAACATGGCAAAAAAGGAGATGTTTGAAACCATCTGCATTTTTTTCTGTGATCGGCTAAAAAAAAGAAATTTTAACAATTAAAAATCATATTACTGAATTTAAGTGGCAGTGTTAATGCTGAAGAATACTAATTTAACTTTGCTGCTATCAGATTAGGGCAGATCTGAACAGGTGGTTACCCCTGGCAGTTATGCCAGTTTAAAGTAAACTCTCTTATACTGAATTTATATGGAGAGTGAGATCCATGGAACTACACTCCCTTAAGTGTTCTTCCCCATTCTTTTAAAAGAATATCAAGTTCTCATCTGAAAATCAGACAGCATTTTTTAAAATATTTGTGCTTGACATTATCTCCACATTAGCTGGGCAAAGGCAAAAAGGCAGAAAAAAAAAAATCAATGCTGTTCTAGCTCCAGAGATTAGTGGCAGAGCTGGAATGTGACCTCAGGTGTTCTGTCTCTAAAGCTGCTGTTTTAGGTTCTGATTTTCCTGTTGGGTGGCCTCAGGGATACACCTGGAAGTCTGTAAGTCTCCAGAGCACCAAGTATCCAAGAGATCACAGCTGGGATGATAAAGGGCTCTATCTCTTCGGTCAAGTTCACTCTGGGGTTGGGATGACCCTCTAAGTTTCTTTAACCGCCCAAATAATTAATCTGCAAGACTTGTATTCAATAACAGACCACAGATAGTCATAACATTTGACTGTGTCATAGCAAGGAATCTGGGTTGCCATGAGAGTACGGAAAACAAGAAAAATTGAGATGTAGGCTAGGCATGGCAGCTCATGCCTGTAATCCCAGCACTTTGGGAGGCTGAGGCAGGCCGATCACCTAAACTCAGGAGTTTGAGACCAGCCTGGGCGACATAGTGAAACTCTATGTCTACAGAAAATACAAAAACTAGCTGGGCTTGGAGGTATGTGCCTATAATTCCAGCTACGTTGGAGGCTGAGGTGGGAGGATTGCTTGACCTTGAAGTTGAGACTGAAGTGAGCTGAAATCACCCTATTGCACACCAGCCTGGGTGACAACTCTGTCTCAAAAAACAACAACAACAACAACAACAACAAGAAGCACAAAAAAAAAAAGTAAAGAAAAATTGAGAAGTATATACTTGAGAAAATTAAAAACTAAAACTAAAAGCTGAACTATTAAAAGATGTCAAAGATATATTTAAATTTTAGAGGATCACAAACTAGGAGTGATGTATATATACATAAAGGTAGATGGTTAAAATTTAGCCATGTAGCAATTAAATATGAAAAAAATGAGTGAATTCAATGCTAAATGACATCTGCTTTGTTACAAAATGGAAATAAATACCAATATTGTCTGTTTTAAGTTTTTAAGATTATACCATGGTGACTATTTTTGTATATGTTTGACAACTGTAGGCTAAAAAGAGAACACATGAAGTTTGTAAGGAGGGCTTAATTTTCTCAAAACAAGCAATCAAAAATAAATCAATAAATCCATAGAATTTTCTTAATAGTTAAAATTGAACAGCAGTATTCTTTTTTCCTAGTTTGTGGTCTTAACATTGATTTCTTATTGTCTGATTTACTAGCCTTTTCACCCAAACCAACAGGCAAATCAGAGACAATGTAATTAGCAGTTTATAGATAAATCTGAAGATTATCACTCACTTGCAAAATACGCATACGTAATGGAAAGCAACACAAATACTTAAACTCTCCTCGGTGATACAGTATTTGAAAAACCAAATTAATGAAAAAGCCCACATGGTTGACTCCTTTCTGTATTTATGACCCCACAAAATATTGTAGTTTCTGATTTTTCATGCTTTCTTGTTTCTTAAAATACAATACTTGTTCAAGAATGGCAGAATGTGAGTAAATGTTGAAGCTGGGTGATGAATACGCAGAGGTTCATTAGACAAGTCTGTTTATTTTAATTCTATATTTGCCTATTAATGAGGGGATGTAAAACGATTTAAGATAAATTAAACAAATTTCTTACTCTTTAAGCTCACTGTAAATTGGCAGGACTGATGGGTGGCAGACAAATGCAAATGCAATGGTTGGTAAAGCATACACAGTCTATTTGAGAGAAAAGAACAGACATTAGGAAAAAAAAAAACACTTTTACTATAAAAATGACACAGCTCCAGTATTTCTAAGCTGTCTTTTTATCTGACAGCTCTTGAGAATCCCTGGATTATTCAGTTATTAGGAGGGTTTTGATCTCTAAAATAGAAGCAGCTTTTCTAAGAGAGCTTATCTAGCTCGAGCCATTAGCCACTCGTCACAGAAGGATTTTGGATTTGGCTCACCTACGGCGTATTTTATGTACCCCAGGTATACAACATCCCCTGTTTATACAGCATGAGCCAGTTACATGGCACTCTTCCTAGGATAGCTCATTGGATCTCCACGGCAATCCCGAGCAGTAGGCAGACTGTGGCTGTTCTCCTGGCTCTCTCCAACAGGTCAGGCGACTGGCCCAGCACTCCCACCTCTAGTTAACTGCTCTTTGCTCTGTGTCAGGTGCATTGAATCAGACTTAAAAGATACCCTCTGAAAAGAAAATCTGCTTCACATTGCACTACCTTGGCTGTATTCTTACAATCCGAGAGAAAGAGAGAGATTGCCATCTATTTAGTTTTCTTAGATAAGGCTGTTTGAAACTCTCAAACTCAATCTAATTTCCTATGCAAAAAGAGGTGGGGGGAAGGAAGGAAAACTAACCTATCTTATGCCCTAACTCTGCTGATGCACTATGCCAGGCACATTCTAACAAAACTTTGTAAGATACAGAACAGAACCCTTATTATTATTCAAGGAGTTGGGTGACTTGCCTGAGGATTCAAATCCAACCCTGACTGACTCCATAATCCTGTGTTTCCCATAGCATCAACAATATTTTAATAGTATGAGGGTTTTCTAAGTCCCAGTTTATGGTGGCATCTATATTTCAGCTGTGCAAGCTGAGGAAGTCTGCATTATTCCCTTCTGTCATCATCATATAAGAAACAGGGGGCTAAGGATGTCATTAATCTGTTTTTAAAGCATCAACCAGTCCTCTACACAGGAAGAGCTGAGACCATTATCCAAAATGGGATTTTGACAGAGAATGCTTAAGGGTAAGAGAGAGTGTAAAATATAGTATTTGTATATTTCTCAAGGATCTCTACATAGATTGTGTAATCTGGAAGCAATGATACCACGTAGTGCAATTACAAGTATAAGAAATAGAATGCGCTTAATAAAAGTGCTCCTTTAAAAATCCCAATCTTCTTATCTGCAAAGGATCGGGAAACTAACCTTTGAATTGAAGGTAACATATTTTGGCGTACACATGTCAGCATTTGTTGAATTAGCGCTTATTGTTGAGTTTAGCTCTGGAACAATGCAGGGAATTTGAAATTTCTTGTAAATAACCTGGTATTAAGAAGTATAGTAGAAACAATATAGACTTTAGTAAAGCCGAATAATGAATAGTACTATCACAAAACCAAAGCAGCCATTTCAATCAGCACTTACCACTATTAGAAAAAAAACCATGCAGCTCAAGGAAAATCCACTAGTATAGCCAAGATACCCTTTAAAAAAATAGTAAAAAATAAATTATTTCTTTTTTTCTGTTTTTTAAAAATTTGGAGCTACCCATCATAAACTGTTATTACTTCAAAATTCATCACCTCATTTATTTCAATGTGTTATTTCAAGCATATTTTAGAGCTCCAACAATAAACACACATGCCCAAGTGAATACAAGATTTATTATTTGACAGTGCTACTTTATTTGGCAAAAAATGGGGCTCTGAATAAAAAATTACATTATGTGCTTTGATTCCAACTCTCCCTGGCACACTAGAGAACACAGATTCCCAGAATCCAGCGGAAAAGAGCCTTCCAATTTTTGCTATAAGTCTGTGCTGGTGGACTCTGATGGAGTCCTATGGGCAAACCCATTTACTCCTTGATCCCCTCAGTTATGCACTTATTGTGTGCATACTGAATGTCAATTATAATACTTTTCTCCCCAGATGACAGAGTAGATGAAGTGAATTTCTAGAACGCCTGGGAGATCTCCAACTGCCACTGTGACCTCCAAAAAGGTGGAGTTAAGTAGCCTTTTGGGACTGCATTATTCTCATCCCTGGGGAAGAGCCTTTCTCTACTTAACTGAAAAGAGCTACCTCTATAGGTACAGAAAACACAGAAACAGAAACCAGAAAATAAGTTTGGATATAATGTATCAGACCTCTGGAGCTGTTCTGTGAGGTTTATACAGAGGTCTGATACATTATATCCAAAACAAAACAAAAAACTGTGGCTCATAACTATTGTTTGAAGAGCTTTTATCCAAACTTCTGTTTGAATTAGCCCATTTAATTAAGTAAATACATTTTACAGGTTTTTGACTGGATGGCAGTCTGGCCACATTATTCAATGTATAAAATTCCCCTAACATCAGGCATTCTTGTTTCCAAATACAAGCATAAAAACAAGTAGTAGATCAAAGCCAAATGGATATGACTTGGAGATTATCCACCACTTCTGACTTTTGATTTCTCTCTCCTGCTTCAGAGAGAAATAACTGAGACTGGTTAGACTAAATTTATGCATGATTCATAATACTTAGAGCTTTAAATCTAGGCAGCTGTCTCCATATTACATTTGAAAATGTATTTACCTAAATAATGAGAGTATTTAAGAATTCATACAAGGAGAATTCCATTTTCTGGACCTTTCTTAGAGTAGCATATAAGTTGTACTATTGAAAATAGCCCTGTTTGTCCTGGTCCCAGAATCTTCCTTTTCCCCTCCACAGCTCAGTAGAGGGATTGTTTAGAAGGTCACATACTGACTATTGTTTTTAACCCATATTAAAGTTAGGCCTGATTAATACTTACAATTTATCATTAAGTGCATGACTAATCTCTAAGTGCATGCAGAGGAGAAGCAGAGAGAAACACTGTCCATTTTTATTCAGTTTCTGATTCACTTGAGCACTGCAGAATACTATAAAAACAAAGTCTGTCCTTACCTAAGTTCTTCAAGAGACACAGAGGGAGAATTATGCCAAAGGTAACTATTACCACCAGAACTCGGCCATCCACGTACCAGGCTCTGAAAGGCATTTAAGTAGTTAGGTTATATTTTTTTAGAAAGTGACTTTTGTTCCCTCCAATGTAAAATTTTTATTAATTTTTACTATATCCATTAATTTTTAAAATCATTATTCAGGTCTTATCCAAACACTTCAACCCAACCACTACTTATTTACTACAGCTTCACTCCCACGTAATGGAAGAAGGAATATTGGTTTTTTTTTCCTTTCCCATTGGCTAAATGTGGCATTCCTTTGAATTATTTACATGGTTTCAAAGCTGAATGCATACATTGCATTCTGTCAGATTACAACTCGTCTTATCAATTATTTAAAGAGAAAGCTCCTTTTTGTTTTGCTGGACTAGTATCAGTGCACCACAGGTAGGCATTTCTCTCTCCCTGATCCCTTGGATTTGACCTTGAATCCTGAGAACACTAGAAACTCTGGATTCTATGTTTCTCCCTTGAAAGAAAACAGAGAAACTAAAACAGACAAGAACGGTTAAACAAGACAGAGTCAAAACACAATTGTGCCAAATGTAGCTGCAACATTTTCCAGGGTTAGCTACATCTTTAATGAGGTTGGCTCATGCAAATTTTGCTCCCAAAATGCTATGTCCCTTCTTTAAGCAAGAGACTAGGGTCTTAATTTTTTTTGCATGTTCCACTTTTGTGTTAAAAATACTCCATATCTGTTCTATTTCACATAAACTAGATATAGATTTCAGGCTCTTGGGAAAATGCAGTGTCAACCGCTCACAGCATAACAGATAAATCTACTTTTCAAATGTTCATATTCAAATGGCTCTCCCTGCTTCTTTCATTTATATAGCCACAAAGAAATTTACTGTTGAAACAACAAACAAAAAGCATCGTAGGAAAAACTTTCTGCAATATTCATAAAGCAAGAATTTTGGTTAGCCCATATTTAAATTAAAAACATTTTAGTTATACCATTAAAAAATGGTCTATAACTTACGAAAATGCCTCTTCCTTTCCCATTAGAAACTTTATGGCAGAGGGTAGTTCATTTTTTACTATGAAGAGGTAGCTCAGCATTGCTGGAAGAAAATAAGAACATTTTTAGAAAGAAGATATGAAGACTTATGTTACAAGCTATATTAAAAGTTATCAGCCTGTTCTTACACCAACCGTCAATAAGACACAAAGGGAACTTTAGCTACTCCAGCAGTATTTGTGGCTTTAAATAAGTGACTGCTGTCTCTGCTTTACTTTCCCTGTGCCATTTTAGCAATGAGGATGATAACTGTTTGAATTATGTTAAAATTCATGTGGCCACCCAACCACCAGAATTAGTTTCAAGTTATGTATAGAAAAGCATGTTCTTTTTACCTCCAGTGTTCTGAAGAGAGGTGGCTCCAAAGATTATGAACTTCCCTGTGGTGCCAAAAACTTGTTCCCCCAGCTTTTCATATACCATGCAGCCTATTTAAAAATCAAATTTGAGAACACAAAAAATGACAGGGTTCAGAAAGTAAAAAATAGTCAAGATTTTGTCATTCTATTGACTGTTTCCTCAAGTTATTGTGTGCCTTTCTCAAACTCACACAAATAGTCTTATTGGCTTTGCAGGGGTTAAGGTATCCTCATTATAAAACGAACTCTTGATATTTTAAAATGTCAGACGCAACCATTATTTCTCCTTTTTCAAGTTGGCTAACAAAGCGTTACAATTAACCTATTAGGTCATAAGGCTTATTTTTAACTACCTCTATCTCACAAAGGGGAAATTCCCTCTGTGATCTTTTTCTCAGATCTCGTAGATACCATTAATATATATATTTGATTTAAAAAGATCCTAAAAGTTGAGGCAAAAAGATAACTTTTGAATTAACTACCTTAACTGATTAGGCTAACAAGGAATTATCTTAATAACATCCCATCAATGCCTCCATGTTCTAAATGTAATAATAAGCTTGGAAACATTTTAATAGCCATGACATATGAAATGTAATCATTCATAAAATGTAGTCCAAATACACGCAACACCCAAAAGAGAGCAGAAAACTAATTTGTCGAAAGCATATTTCATCTGTAGCAAAATTTGAAAGTGTTCAACTAGCTTATCTCAATAAATACTAAAATTCTAAGCCATTCATTTTTTAAAAAGTGTTTATATTTCTTTATAACTGTTCAGTCCATGTTTTCAAAAGGTTCACAGAAAGCAATATGTGACAGGCTATAATTAAACCTTTGTTTACTCTCTCAAAAGACTGGTGTTTAAACTAGACAATGGTCAGCTCCTCAATTTATTACAAAATGTTCCAGTTAAATTGAGTCATGTATATACAATAATAGTTGGCCAATGTGGTTTTAGCTAATGTAAAAGTCAAAGAATTACAAACATAATCCAGTGTCCCAGAAATAGAAAATAAACACTTCAGGTATTACACTGCCCAGAGTACTTGAAGGCTCTTCATAGCTTGCTCACTCCCACAGTGCCTCAGTAGTAACAGTTTCTCCTTGGAATAGGCACAAGAGAATGAAAGGTCTGTTTACTTTCAAAACCTTGGAAGCTATAATATAAAAACATGGGATCTTTGCTTTGGATATATAAAGACCTAAGCAAAAACTGAAGCTTTTAAAATGAAGTCATTTTACACTAGAAAAAAAAGGTATAATGGAGGGTTCGCTTTAAGTGACAACATTATTTGCTCATTGTCCATGCCAATTTAATTTATATATTGCTGCAACTGTTTCTCTAGAGAAATATTTCCAAAGGTCTTCCAATTACTCTAGGTCAAAGTAGTCTTTCTTTCTTTTTTTTTTTTTTTTTTTTTTTTTTGAGACAGAGCGTTGCTCTGTTGCCCAGGCTCGAGTGCAGTGGCATGATCTCAGTTCACTGCAGGCTCTACCTCCCATGTTCAAGTGATTCTCCTGCCTCAGCCTCTTGAGTACCTAGGACTACAGGCAGGCACCACAATGCCCAGCTAATTTTTTGTACTTTTAGTAGAGAAGGGTTTCACCATGTTGACCAGGATGGTCTTGATCTCCCAACCTCATGATCCACCTGCCTCAGCCTCCCAAAGTTCTGGGATTACAGGAGAGAGCCACTGCACCCAGCCCCTGTCTTTCTTTTTAATAGTCAAATTGTTGTACAGAGAGATCATCGTTTGTTCATAATGTCACCATAAAAATAATTCACCCTGGTTTTAACAAAATCAAACTTATTCTCAGCTTACCTGTTTCTTTTGAACAGATCAGTAGGAGGTTTATTGAATATATAGACAGCAATGTCACTGAAATCAAAAGTACCCTAAAGCAAAGAAAATAAATCTTGTTGTAATAACTAGAAAAGAATATATTCTGACTTTACATTTTAGAAGAACAAAGGTTTATTTATATAGTTAACACTATTTGTTAATAGTATCCAACTTTTGGAACCTATTAATCATCCCTGTTTTAAAATCCACAATAAAAATGCCCTACCAAATAAAGAAGGGCTCATTAGAATCTGAGTAACAGTTCAAATCCTTTACGTAATTCAAAGCCCAAATAGCTCTCTGGGAACATTTCCGTTGAGATGACTTTAAAACAACATTATGAAAGAAAGCTTTTGTAGTAAATGATGTAATCTCTGTTACATCTGGATGAGATCATGTGAGAATGGGATGGGAGGGGCAAAGGAGAAGGCTGGCAGTGACCTTAGGAGAATGACCACCTGCCTTTGGGCAACTTGCTTAACATTTCCCATCTCTGGATTCATTGCCCATAATATAAAGATATAAGCCAAATGATGTCTGGGCTCTTTTCATCTGTTACTTCATGGCTATCTTAAAATCTACATATTAGGCCACTAATGTAATTCACTTTTTTTTTGCACCTGGTTCCTCTTAGATGAATAAGCACCCTTTGCTAACTAGTGGGAAAATTTGACAATCAAGTATAATGAAAAGACTTTTTTGAATGATGAATTCATGTTTTTGTTTTAGTACATCTGGCTCATTATCAAACCCTTGTCAGGGAAAAGTGCAGTTAAAATAATGTGGGAGATTATATAGATGATTTCTGAAACATTTGGTTAAAACAGACATGATAACTGAAAATAAAGCCTATTTATTAAAAAGAAGGAAAAAAAAAAATCCAGTCCCCAATTGAAACCGTTCACTTCCTGATGTGGGAAAATATATCCCCAGAACAATACATTACTGCAATTGACTCTATGCTTGAGTCATTAAAGGCAATTATTTTCCCACCAAGTGCTGTTGAGAGGCACTTGGCACATCAGGCAGTTCGCTCTGCGTGGGCTGCCTCCTCCTGGCCCTTCCCGCTCCCAGCACACCTGTTGAAGGCTGCTCAAGGTCCCAGCTCAGATGCCACCTCCTCACTTGCCTTCCCTGGCCCCAGGCAGAATAACTGCTTCTCAGCTGTCTCTGATCCTAAGCATTTTGCTTCTCCCACATATGGGGCAGCCATGAGGCGATAAACCAGGAATACAGAACGGTCAACAGCAGAACAGATGGACTGCCAGAAACCGGCCAGCAAACAAAATAGGGGCAGAGCTCATCAAAGGCAAAACAAACACTAGGAGAAAGAACAGAAGACCTAACACTTTGGTTAAAGGCCCAACTGATCTGCCAATAAAGGGGAATTTAGGTTAAGATATGATTGGTAAGGAAGTGCATTCAGATCTATACTTATTGCTCCAAAATCCTTGAGTGAGGAGGCTGTTTGGCTGTGTACCCACTCAAATCTCATCTTGAATTGTAGCTCCCATAATTCCCATGTGTTATGAGAGGGATCCAGTCGGAGATAATTGAATCATGGGTGTGGTTTCCCCCATACTGTTCCTGTGGTAGTAAATAAGTCTAACAAGATCTGATGTTTTTTTTAAATAAGGGGAAACCCCTTTCGCTTATCTCTCAATTCTCTCTTGTCCGCAGGCAAGTAAGACGTGCCTTTTACCTTCTGCCATGATTGTGAGGCCTCCGCAGCCACATGGAACTGTGAGTTCTTTAAGCCTCTTTTTCTTTATAAATTACCCAGTCCCAGGTATGACTTTATCATCAGTGTGAAAATGGACTAATTATTATCTCTTCAGGTTGAAGGATGTGAGAAATGAAGAGCAAGAATTTATTAACCAACCCAGTAGTTCTGAGATATGTAACGGAACATGATTTGATATGCTCTGCCACAGAATGAAATACAGAACCTAATCGTGGCATGATTTTGTTTCCATCAGATAAGATAAGCATTATTTTACATAGAAGAAGCAAGCTTTGAGTGTCTTGCAGAGTTCACTCATGTTCTGAGGGACACACACTAAGTAGCAATTTCTACACGTTCATGTGACAGGTCCTAGAGGATTTCCACGTGGCACAGAAGAGCACAGGCTTCCTAGTGGGGATAAAATGGGTGGCATCTTAGGATGAGTCAGGTGCTAATCTGGAGTGACCATGTGCCCTGTTGGGTCTACTCTGCTGGGACCAAAAGTGACCAAAAGGATTTTCATATGGTCCCAAGGCTAGTGTATAAAGAGTATGAACTTGTACAAACTATGTGCCTAGGAGGAGGGGAGGAGGGCATAATTATGAATATCTACATAATGATTTAAATAAGCCTTAACCCTGGAGAACTCGGTATTTATTAGCAAAAGAAACATTCTAAGGAAACATTTGCTGTGTTCCTTCAGTCAGTAGCCCCTTGAACCATGTGGTTTTTGCAAATGGTTGTGTCTTAACACAACAGAATGATGAAAACAATCTCTTCTCCCATGTTTAAGAGACATAACATTGCACCCCCAAGTACTAAAAGTACTAAGAGTCTGATGGCTTTTGTCTTTAACTGTATGATTGGCAAAGACTCTCTTCTTAGTCCCTTCTGAAATGTAGACCTTCTCTTCCAAGATTAAAAACTAATATAAAGTAAAACCTCCTTTTCTATCAGATCACTAAGAGGCAAACTGTAAAAGTAAAATTCTAAGAATACTTTAGGCTATACCAGAATCTGGCATTAATAGGATTAAAATTTAGAAAAGTACACCTCTTTGTTCAGATTCTTACAAAGAAGCAATATGTTGTCTAAATGACTCTAATGGGTTAGAAAAATCAAATCATAGATGTCTTGAAACATGGAGACCATGACATCTAAGAGAAAGAGGAAAGAGGAATAACTGGAGAGAATGCATTGGACACTTCTGTTTAGAGCATGATTATGCCCCTTAAAGTCCAGGTAGTATTTGTACATATAATTATGGTTTCCTGGAAGAAAAACACATGCTGGGATTCCTGTACTAACACCGAGGAACACAAGTGATTCCTTTTTAAAATTTCATCTGGATATAATTGAAGCTTCAACGTTGTTAACCATCAACCACAAGTATTAATAAGGGTGGGGCAAAAACTGGTTGCTGAAAAAGGCAAGTGGACTACAGCTCAGCAATTGGTAACAGGGCTGTTGAGATGCTGATAGTTCAGACTTATGTTCAACTTTGAGGAGAAGATCTAGAGCATGTAACTGTACATGGGTCATGGGGAAGGTGTAGCAGGAGAGTTAGAATGGTGAAGAATGTGGTCAGGAACCTTCAAGAGTCTTTGTATCAGCAACATTTTGAAAGATGTGGTGCAGGACATCCTGTAGATTTTTGAGTGTCCTGAGAAGAAACTTAGAATTCTAGACTCCTGAAGCAGGGAGAGACTTTCAGAGAGGATCTAGTTCAGCACAGAGTTTTCACCCAGGACAGGAAACCTCTATGCTCCATGCCGACACACTGGCATCAAGGTCTGCAAAGTGTCTTTTAAAATGGGACACATTATGCAACCCATTCATTTCTGTAAAGTTCTATGCTTTGTAACTGTGGCTGAGCTGAAATCACTATTGCTACTTCTATCCTTGGGTACTCATTTTACCTTCTGGACCTATTAGAATCTACTTGAAATCTAACACCTCTCCTACCTAACAGTCCTGAGGGTGCTCATTTTAAGATTGTGCTTTTTAACTCAAACACCTTTAGTTCTTTGAACTGTTCATCTTGTGATGAAGTGTTTGGGCTGTTCACATCTCAGTCACGGTCCAGTTCCTCAACCATCCTTTTTAAAGGCTGTGTACTGAGATGAGCCCAATGCTATAACATCAGATTTGATCCAAATAGCGCAAAGCATGGCAGGATTTTTAATTTCTCTGAGTCGGACATCGTTCTTCTTTCAAGGAAATCTATTTTGGAATTCATTTTTACAGCAACCCCCTCACACTTTTCATTTTTTGAGCTTCTGGTATGAGTGCTACTAGGCTGTCTTCATGATTCTATCTTGTGTACTTTTTCTGTTTTTTTTTTGTTAAGCTAAGTGCAAGACCTATATTTATTTTCATTACATTTTATCTTTCAAGTATCGTGATCTCTTCTTAAATTGTTGATCCTTTTTACTTATATTTCAACCTCTGTATCCAACTTCATATCTTGAGTGTACCTTCATCCAAGTCACTGGCATCAACTTTGATTAGAATAAGACCATCTGGAAATGGCCCATTGTTCAGCCAACTGCTTGAAGCCTGGAAGTCATCCTTATCTCTCACCTATTCCTTCACCCTTTGTATCTAGTTCATTGGCAAGTGCCCTATCACTTCTACCCCCAAAATTTATCCCAAATCCATAGTCATTTTTCCCCATCTCCACTGACCTCACTCTAGTGTGAGCCATTGTCTAATTTCTGAATAACTGTGATCATCTTTACTTATCTCCCTTGTCTTGCCTCCTCACATATCTTCCACCCAGCAGCCAAAGTAATCTTTTTATTTTAATGCTTTATTATGTGTCTCCATCACTAGACTGTAAGACAGGCCATGACAGTTTAATTCATGACCTATTCACCTATTTACAGTCAGCATCAAACACACACATAACAATCTTTGCTGAGAATAAGTGAATTTACAAACATTAGAACCTCATTGGCAAGTGATGTGAAACTATGCCAAATATCTTAACTAAAATCAAGATTCTCTCTATTAAGATAGTCCCATGATCTACTTAACTCACTCTTAACTCAAAAGATGATATTAGTTTATTGACTATCTAGAAAAACTCTGTTGGCCTCTACAGAGCAGTCTTTTCTGCAGTCATTGCACATTCACAAGTTGATTATTAATTTTCTTTACACTATTGCCTGGCATCTACTTTTTGCTATTTGTGAAAGTTGGAATTAAATTAGCCTATTTCTAATTTTCCGAGGAGATTTGTGATTTCCATGATTTTTAAAAAGATTTCTGATAGTATCTTAGACAAAGTGACATGAAGAAAAAAAGAAAGGAAAAGATTTCTGA